AGCTCTTCTTGAGTCTGCACACCAGGTTCTTCTTCTTTTCTTCTGAGAAACCTTCTGGCTGGTGCATGTATATCTCCTCTTCTAGATCTCCGTGAAGAAACGCCGTCTTCACGTCTAATTGCTCGAGATGAAGATCTTCAATTGCTACAATACTCATCACGGTCCTGATAGTATTTAGCTTCACCACGGGAGAAAAAAATATCGGGGTAGTCAATTCCTTCCTTCTGCTGGAAACCTTTGACAACTAGCCGGGCTTTATATTTTCTGGAACCATCCTGCTCCTCTTTCACCCGGTACACCCATTTGTTGTGGAGTGCCTTCTTATGCGTAGGTAACTCAGCTAGTTCTCACGTCTGGTTTGAGATGAGGGACTTCATCTCATCTTTCATGGCAAGCTCCCACTTGCTCGCATCTCCATGAGGGACTTCATCTCATCTTTCATGGCAAGCTCCCACTTGCTCGCATCTCCACACTGACAAGCTTCATTATAGCTTTCAGGCTCCCCACCATCTGTCAACAACAGATAGTTCATGTATCTCCTATTGGGTACAGGAGGACAAGAAGATCTTCTTAATATCGGAGCTGGTGCGTCGGGCTCCTGTGCACCATCTTGTCCAATAGGCTCTTCTAGCTGAGGACCCTCTGCATTGGGTTCTTCCGAAAGGTTACTCGGGACATCATCTGCATCTACAAATATTGACTCGCTCTCTGAGTCATCTGTCTTGTGCATGTCCTTGTACATCACCTTCTCGTTGAATATCACATCTCTGCTCCTGATCACCTTCTTGTTTTCGTTGTCCCAAATGCAGTAGCCGAACTCATCTTCACCATAGCCGATGAAAGTGCATTTCTTTGACTTGGGATCAAGCTTATTCCTGCCTTGATCACTAATATGCACGTAAGCTACACAACCGAAAACTTTAAGATGTGAGAGTTTTACCTCCTTTCCGCACCATACCTCCTCTGGTATTCTGTGCTCCAATGGAACCGATGGACCTCGGTTGATCAAGTAAGCTGCTGTGTTGACCGCTTCTGCCCAGAACTGCTTCGGTAGGCCTGATTGTACTCGAATGCTTCTGGCTCTCTCCGTCAACGTTCGGTTCATCCGCTCAGCTACACCATTTTGCTGAGGCGTACCGGGCACGGTTCTCTCCATTCTGATCCCGTGCTCATAGCAGAACTTCTTGAATCCGGTGTCTTCATACTCACCGCCATTGTCGGTCCTGAGCTTCTTTATTCTCAGACCGGTCTCATTCTCGACCATAGCTTTCCATCTCCTGAAAGTCTCAAATACTTTTGACTTATGCTTCAGAAAGTAGACCCACACTTTTCGAGAGTGATCGTCGATGAAAGTCACGAAGTAGTGTTTTCCACCAATGGACGCGGTGGTTGTTGGTCTCCACACATCTGAGTGAACGAGCTCTAGCTTCTCTTTCCTGGGGGTTCTGCCACTTGTCTGAAAGCTGACTCTCTTCTGCTTTCCAAGTATACATTCTTCACACATATCCATCTCCACTGACTGCAGTCCTGGGAGTTTTTCCTTTGTGTGCATGATTTTCATCCCCTTCTCACTCATATGACCGAGTCTCTGGTGCCACAGCTTTGAAATTTCATTGCCTGCTGTAACTGAGATCAAACAACATGCACCTGCTGTCATATATAGGGTACCAGTCTTCCTGCCTCGGGCAATCGCCATTGCGCCCTTTGAGATCTTCCAATCATCTCCATGGAAGGTCGTGGTATATCCTTCGCCAGCCAACTGATCTTCCAATCATCTCCATGGAAGGTCGTGGTATATCCTTCGCCAGCCAACTGGCCTACGGATATTAAAATCTTTCTCAGGTCGGGAATATGCCTGACATCCTTCAGCTCCCATACAGACCCGTTCAACTTAATTTTCACCACGCCTTTGCCCACAATAGCACATGGTTGATCATCACCAAGATATACGTATCCAAGATTTTCGGGGGTATACTTCTCGAAGAATTCTTTCTGAGAGGTAGCATGGAACGACGCTCCTGAATCTAACACCCAAGATTCCTCCTTGCTCTCCAAAGAGCATATCAATGCGTCGTCTCCTCCTGAGGTGGAGGTGACATTCACCTCTGCCTTCGCCTCCTTCTCCTTCTGTGCATTCTTGCACTGATTCTTGTAATGCCCGGTCTTTCCACAATTCTAACACTCGATAGCCTTCGAGCTATTGCTTGGATTCCTTGATTTGGACCTTTTGTCCTTTGATCTACCTCTGAAGTTTGATTTTCCTCGTCCGTTTTCTCTGGTTGAATTTCTACCTCTTGACTCTGTATGCAATACTGAAGAGGTTGTAGCTTCACCCATTTCTCTCCGTCGGATCTCCTCACTGAGAACCAAATCACGAACGTCGTCGAACTTCAACTTTTTCTTTCCCGATGAGCTACTCACTGCCGTGACTGTAGCGTTCCAACTCTCTGGTAGGGAAGACAAAAGTATCAACGCCCGAACTTCCTCATCAAACTCAATCTCAACTGAACCCAATTGGGTTGTAACCGTATTAAGTTCATTGAGGTGTTGTGCTACTGACGCGCCTTCGGCCATTTTCAAATTGAATAACCACCGCATCAAATGAACTTTGTTCGCGGCTGATGGCTTCTCATACATGTTTGAGAGTGCTGCCATAAGACCCGCCGTGGTCTTCTCCTTCGCTATGTTGAACGCAACATTGCGAGTCAACGTCAATCTGATAACTCCGAGGGCTTGTCTATCTAGAAGGTTCTACTCATCTGCCTTCATAGAATCCGGCTTCTTCCTCGATAGTGGTTGATACAGATTTTTCTGATACAGATAATCCTCTATCTGTATTTTAATTTCCAGAATCCGAAATCTGTTCCATCAAATTTCTCAAGTCTCATTTTTCCTTCATCTGCGGTCATGGCTCCTACTTGAATCTGACTTCCTCTAGATCGTTTCACGCTCTGATACCAGTTGTTGGGAATTTAACGCCGAAATCCCTAATGTAATAGAAACGCGGAATAGAAAAAGTACACCAAGATTTACGAGGTTCGACAACTGCTTACGTCCTCAGGAGCCACATAGTAAATTTCTTATTAATCAAACAAGAAATTACAAATATAAGAGCAGATCTCAAAACTAAGATTTCTCAAATGAACACTGTAGCTACAGTGTTAATAATTAAAGGGAATAATCCCTTTCAAATCTCTCTTGAGAATAAATGATATCCCACAATATAAACCCCTTTTAAATTCTCTCTCTCCTTAATTCCTTTTCTTAATCTCCCCTCAAAAGAACAATTGAGAGCTGGAGATGGAAATAAAAAATCGCTGCTGCGATTTTAAGGCTAAACGCTGTTGCGTTAATTTCGTCCGCCGCCAGAGAGAGATCGGGGGAAAAAGCTCAGCATCGAAACCCTAGGCGATGGGGGGGTTTTTATAGGGGAAACATTGACAGGCTGGCGACAGCCTGTCGCTAGCGGCCCGCTTGGACGCGAGGGTGGGAGAGCCAGAACGCGGACGTCGGAGTCCTGGACGCGATCGTCGAAATCGACAGCCGCGCGAGCGTTCTGATCAGACGCTAAAATCGGAGCGCCCCTCCCCCACAAACGCCAGGGTCGAGACATCTATGCGAAGGGCTCGAGCTCATCTAGCCTCGCCGTCGACCTCATCGCCTGAGCCAACGCCTTCACTCGCCGAAGCTTCTAGCCGGCGGAGGTGGGTATCCACCCCCAAACTAACAATGAATTAGCCCTTTGGAAAAGGAGGGGAAAAAGGCAGGAATAAGAAGCTTTTTGCTCAAAAAATTAAAATTATTGATAATTAGCTGGACGGGATGCAGGCATGACAAGTTCGTTAACTAATAAAAATTATTCCTCTAAGAAAAATATGTAAATTATAATTGAAAAAATTGTGCAACAAGCATGAAGGATTCAGATCCTCCACACTGTTCAACTAGAATATATACTCGCAAACAATGCAAGTCGAGAACATTTTCATACACTTAAATCTTCATCAAAAACTAACTTTTATTAAAATAAATGTTCTCATTATCCCTTATCCTTGGTCTACTATCCTGAAATTGCAACCTAATCAGTTTTAAGAATCATAAATGCAGATTCTTAAATGTAATCCTTCGCTTCTATCAAAACAACAGGCAACTAAATGGCACACGATACTGTTATACAAGAAAAACTTGGAGGATTTGTAGAGCAGTTGTGATAAGAAAAGGCAATTAGAGAAAAATTTTCCCTACGTAGGACGGTGTAGGAGAGTTGTCCTTCTAATCAGCCTCATTCTCTCCTTACGTTTTTACTTCTTTTAGAGAAGACAACAACCTAATCTTTATTGTAATTTAGTCAAAGTTTATGTGTGTTCATCAATAGTGTTATCTATGTTTTCTTCTACTACTTCACTTCTACGTCTTTCTTGTGCCACATGTTGCTCCTAACTAATGTCCGTGCTTCCTACCTTTTAATTGCAAAAAAAAAGAGCGAGGAAATGTAATTATACGGTCACATGGTATGCGACATGATCCATATAAACTGTAAACTGAATACCAGAGTCTGACCTGTAACTAAATTGTTTGTTGGAATTAGGTCTCAAGATATGTTACTAAATATTGTCTCCTTTCAGAAAAAAAAAAAAAAAAAAAAAAATTTCTAGAACCAAACTGATCAATTTCAGGCTATTTGCTAGGTAAAATACATGCATAACAATTTACATGTCATACTTGCATTGGCTATACTAGTATGCATGCATGCATGAAACCATGTAGAAAACAAATCGGAATTGGTCTTTACAGATCTAGAAGGATAATTAACAGAAAAGAAACTCATGTGTTATGCTCAGTGAATTTCTGAGAAGTCCTTACGTTTCAATCTCTTGAATCTTGATGACCTAAGAATTAGAGATGATGATACCCAACTTCTGCCGAGACAAGCAACCAACCTCCAGTAGTATCTATAAATATGCATCCCATAACTTGTTACCCAACAACATATCATTAAGCAACCTAGAAAGTTGGTGCATAGCTTTGCAGTTTGTATCAGTTTGTCTCTTGATTTCAAGTACAATTCACAATGGAGCTACATGGGCTTCTTTTGCTCTCCCTTCTCTTGTTTTCTTTTCATAGCATCCCTTGTTTCGGAAATTCAGAAGAAGACGCTGGATTATATAACATAATGGAACATCCTAAATATTATGGTGCTTTTGATGGAGAGGAAAACGCAACAGATCGAAATCCTGATGGGTTTATCACGCAGAGTGTTGATGAAGTTGATGGTATCGCTGCTTCGGAAGTCGTGAATGTGGCTGATTATGGTGCTAAAGGCGACGGAAGTGATGCTACAGAGGTAAATCCATACACACACACACACACACTAATATTTATGTATTATGAATCTATTTCATCTAGTTAATAAATTTCTTATGCCTTCGTTTTTTTTTTCAGGCCTTTAAAAAGGCTTGGTTGAAAGTATGTTCATCGCCCTCTTCAGCTACTCTCATGGTACCTGCAAAGAAAAGCTACTACTTAAAGCCTACCACCTTTTCTGGTCCATGCAAATCAGAAGTCACAGTGATGGTATGTTTATATAGGAAAGGATACCCTTCATCATACTCAAAAAAGTTCATTCATGAAACTATGCTTTGCTGATATTTTCCATATATATTTCCAATTTGTATAGATCAAGGGAATGATAAAGGCTCCCCCACATAGATCAGCATGGGATGGAACTAACAGGAGGCATTGGATCCTATTTAATGGAGTAAGCAATCTTCAGGTTACCGGTGGAGGAATCATCAATGGCAATGGGCAGATATGGTGGAAGAATTCCTGCAAAATTAATAAATCTCTTGTAAGCCTTTTATTTTATAGTATTTCCCATTTTCTTAAAATAGAATTACATTATGCAGGTAAATGACTAATGTCTTGTATTTTCCTTTTGTGAATTTCAGCCTTGCAAGAATGCTCCGACTGTAAGTCCATCTACAAGTGCTTTGTTATAGAGTTCAATGAAGCGATATCCATTTGTCTTCAAAAACTTATATTTTCCTGTTACCTTTTGATTAAATAGGCGATCACCTTTTACGGATCAAATAACTTGGTGGTTGAGAACCTGAAGGTGAAAAATAGCCAGCAGATCCATGTACAGTTTGAAAAATGTACGAATGTTAGAGCATCTCACCTCAGTATCACAGCACCGGAGAATAGCCCAAACACTGATGGAATTCATATTACAAGCACTCAAAACATAAATTTGGACCACTGTAACATTGGCACAGGTACATATTTTGACAAAAAATGACCATGCCCCTAAATATGTTAATTTTCTAACTATTACTTGATATATTTGTAATGAAGGTGATGACTGCATATCAATCGTCGATGGTGCTCAAACTGTCAAAGCAACAAATATCATTTGTGGTCCAGGCCATGGAATCAGGTATATGACACCCTAGAATTCTTCGTAATTTGTGAATATGCATCTAATTATGTTAATTTTATAATTATTTACATAATGAATCGATATGCAGCATTGGAAGTCTTGGAGCTAAAAATTCAGAAGATCATGTCTCAGACGTGATAATTGACACGGCTAAATTGACAAGTACAACCAATGGGCTTCGAATCAAGACTTGGCAGGTAAAATATATCCACTTCCATAAGTTCACTACCTGTTTACCCCCCCCCCCCCCCACACACACACACACACCAACCCAAAACAAAAAATCGTCACCTATGTAAAATAAGGATTTGAGATGCAGTTTTGCAAATACTGAGATTTGGAGCGTACTTTCACAAAAAAACCACAATTTAAGGGGTATATATGCAAATAATCAGAGACTACTAGAATTTCTCGGTAGTTTACGTTTTAGTTCTGTTCTTATGTTTGATTGGAAAAGAATTTTTTTTCTTTCCTTCAGTAGACCAGGGAACATGGATAGGTAAAGTTGAGAGCAAATTTTCTATCAGTAATCATGAGCTTCATGAATGCTGCATCTGAACATTGTCATATGATGGTTGACATAAAAAGGATGACAAATGCAAACTCAATGATCATATTTAGGCTCCATATTTGGCATACTTAAATTGGGTCAGGGACCTACTGCAATTTTTTTATGCATTGTCCCTCTTTATAAGAGGATGATCTTAGAAACATGTTAAAGTCCTCAAACGAGTCAAAACCATATGAATAATATTTTTTAAGCAAAATGCGTAGCCCTTATTGTCATAAATAACCTTCTTTATGTTTAAATTTCCCTCAAAATTAACACTTAAGTTCCTTCAAAAACACTAATTTGGTAATCTCCAGATAACTTTAAACATGTTTTTTTTCCTGATAATTCTTCTCTTATCATCTTGTGATGCTTAACAGGGAGGCAGTGGCTATGCAAAACATATTCGTTTTCAAAATGTCTACATGAAAAATGTACAGAATCCAATAATCATAGATCAAAATTATTGTGACTCCAAGGAACCATGTCATCAACAGGTAAAAATCCTCTCTCGATCTATTACTCTCTCCTTTCTTCTCTCTTACCTCTTATACAGAGCTTGTGTGCTTTTGTAGAAATCGGCGGTGCATGTAAGTGATGTTGTATACAATAATATCAAAGGGACAAGTGCTTCAGATGTAGCAATCGATTTCGAATGCAGTAAGAGTGTTCCTTGCCAAGGGATTGTGTTGCAGGCCATCAATTTAGTTAAAGAAAACGGGGGATCCGCAAAAAGTATATGCAAGAATGTCAATTTGACTAAAAAAGGAACTGTCATCCCCCCTGCTTGTGCTTGAAGACATTATGAAAAGGGAAATATTTGCTAGTAAAATTATTGTTGATGTTGTATTAAAATAAATTATGTGTGTTAATCTCACAGTCTTTATAATAATAAAGAAAATTCCAGGTATTTTCTTTTCTTTCTTTTTTTCCTTTGTACATGTATGAAATTGTGAGCACCTTAAGGTCAAGTTGAACAAATTAATGGGCTATTGCTTCACAAGTTAAAATTATGGTATAAGTTCTGTAGACACGGAGGACATTGTGAATACATCAGTGATCAGCTTTTTTTGGACTATACATAGAAATTCACCAATTTGCATGTGTTAGGTTGCATACTTAGAATACATAAGTATGGCACAAGTTTAGTTATGCACATCGTTTGAAGTATAAACTTTGGATTTTAGGTAGAAGCTTTAAACAGAAGGGATTCCTCTACATGGTTGGAAATAAAAAGGCACACTTTTCTCGCTAAGTTTATATGAAGATTATATGAAGATTATCATTAGGCATAGTTTTCTCGCTAAGTTCGCAGGATATATAAATGGACCTTCACTAAATGCCTGCATTAACTTTGGTTGCATCTTTGATTGAATCCATTGTGTTGTATATTGGCCTATCAAATCCATATTACACCCTCATTTTTTTTGTTAGTTACTGTCAAGGTAACAAGTTGATTGAGTTCAATTACTAATTAGAAAAAAGGAATGGGGGAAAAAAACTGGACTGGGGAACAGTTGTTAGCTAGAGATCATCACAGCAGACTCCATTTATGAATAATCCCATGCAAGAACTCACTAACTAAAGCAGCTAGCCAGTTTAACTTCTCTACTAGGAAATCTAGATATAAATATGGACAACATGACACTGGATTTCCCCTAACAAATATCTACTTTATTTTCTCCACTAACAAAGGATATTATCACTAGCTAGGCTCAAGATGCAAGCTCAAGGTTGCATTTAATCTATTATCATCGCCAAAACATCCAGAATTCAAAGAGTATTCTCCATTAACCTCTCATATTGGCCGAAAACCCAGTTCTTCGATGGGATCTGGAATCTGTCGAGATTCTCATTAGTCGACACTGTGGTCTCAAATGCTATTAATTATGAAGATGGAAATGGTGAAGAAGCACATGATGCATGCTAATCATGAAAGGAGCAGTTCATTGTATTTATGTTACTGACATCCTTATGAAGTTTTGTTAGTGTATACAAGGTCACATAAAAATGTCCTTTCAGTGTTTTGTTATGTTCGTTAAAGTATTTAGGGCAAGAAACTCGAAAGATTTTCGACTGCAGAAATATAAATAGCTTCTTATTTTGACTCTTTTTTCCGAAACGGATCATGTTATCCCTGTCCTATTTGGATCTGGGGTATTGTTTGGTTAAATCTAATTTATAGATTCTAAATAATTAAATTTATTCTCTTGAATGGTGAAAAAAGGCCTAATAGCCACTTATAGCTGTGGAGAAGGTATAGACATAAGTACAAAAGAGTACAATAAGAAAAATAAAGAGGATAGCAGAGAAATGGGAATAGGGGTGGGCAATGGGACGAGCTGGCTTGTTCCGTGAATTAGCTTGCGCGGTCTCAATGGGGAGACAAGATGTAGGCCTATCCAAACCAGATTTCTGGGTCCGGACAGGGGAAAATGCCTACCCCTAACCCAGGGTGCCCAGGCCGAACTCGGGTCTGGGTCCGGGCCAAACGGGGCCAGGCTCCGGGCTGACTCGAATTTTTTTTATTTGATTTTTTTGTATTTTTTTAAAATTAGATTAATCTTATTATATTTATATAAGCATTTATTAGTATATATTTACATGCTATATATTATATATACATATGTTATATGTAAGTATATTGTATATACTTATAACTTGAGAGAGAGAGAGAGTGTGTGTGTGTGTCACGCCCCGAAACTACAGCGAAAATTCATAAAATACGGGGTACGCGACAGCAACGACCCGTGCACGAGACCAGTCTTATGCACGAGTCAAACCTGACATTTCATATCACATAGTTAATCTCAAAATATTCATAAACCTGCTGATGATAGAAGTTCACAGCAACTATACACATATATAATTGGTACTTACAACCCACAAGCTCACAGTTATAAGCATTTTACAAAACAAAGCACACTGTTGACTTTATGTAACATCAAAAAGGAGACTTTCCATATAACGTCTCTCAGCAAAACGCTATAACCAAAAGTTTGGCTAGAATGAAGCTACTCCGAATCTGAAAAATTTTAAAAACGACGGTGTGAGCTAAAGCTCAGTGAGAACATTTCCCACAAGAGATCCTAGATAACTACAAAATAATAATAATAATAATTCCTAGAATAACGAATTATAAATTTTGCATCAGAAATTCAAAAATAGCAAAATACAATCAAAATATCATAATATTGTCATTTTCAAGAAAGAATGCAACAGTTACATTTTCTTTCTTATGTCCAATGGAATATACTGAGACATTTCATAGAATCAAACCTTTTTTATCAAGGTAATCATTAAGAAAGAAAAAGAACTACTAATTTGCACAAAACAAGAGGATTATTATTTTCTTCATTTCACGGTCAATTGTCAGAATCCTAATTCTCGATGAGTTATTCATGAATGTAAAAGTCACCTCATTGGTCACACTAAGGCTACAAATTATAGCCCAGTAGCATGGGAATGCGTAAAACACATCATATAACAGATAATTCCTGGGAATCGAATGCACCTAACACTGCCATAGGTTACTGGCCAAATATAGAGGGGTCAGAACGAATTTCAGAAGGGCCAATATAAAAGGACCAATATAGAGGGGCCAAATAAAGATGCATTCACCATATGGCAGGCAGAATCACTCCATAGCGGACTGTTTGAGGGTTTGAAAATATCGAGAATCACTTGTCAAATGAGTAACATCTTGCATATCAGAGTTTACAGATATTTTTAAATGAAGTGGACAAGGGTAAACTCCTCATCTAGTTAAAACAACTTACGAATTTCACTTTTCTTTATTTTTATCAGATACTAAGTCACATAATATCTTTGAATCTGTTATAAAATCTTTAAATTCGTTAAACTGTTGAAATATACGTTCAAAATACTTCTTCAAAAGCTTTCAAATAAAGCAATACCCACAATTATTTGAAATTACATGAGAACCAAATTTACTTTTTCTTAGTTCACATAAAATCAAATTGATTTTTCATATCTTGTACGAAATCAACATCGTATTTATGGCTTAGGCCACAACAGAAGTAGATCAAGTCACATTTTAACTTTATATATATGAAAATGATATATTATTTATTTTTCGATTACAAGATAAATCAAATATAATACTCATGCAATTTCACATTATAAAATACTAGTAAGAAATGAACTCACCTTTTGTGATCACGATTTTCCCAAAATATTATCCTCCTGAATATTAACCAAAACCTATAATACGAAGATATTAAGCTAATATTAATTCAGGACAACTACATATTATAGGATAATCACTGCAAAGTTTAGAATCAATCAGATCAAATAATAGTTTATTTATAAATAGGTTCCTTGTAGGCTGCTTTTCTATTCTTAACAATTTACCCAGTATAATTTCTAACTAAGTTCGAATTTTCTAGGTCTGGTTGCAATTTATAGAACAACAGGGTCCTCATGAACATTTTTATTCATATTTATCTTTGGACCTATATACAAACTAATAATCTTTCAGGGGTCCCAAAGAAAATTTATTATTTTAATTCTCATTCTCTCTCCTTTATCTCTTCTTTCTCGTCCTTCTTCTCATTTCATTTCATCATCATTTCTTTTTCTAGTTTCTTCCCCCGCCCGCCCCCTCTCTCTCTCTCTCTCTCTCTTCTCTCTCCTCTCTTCACCCAGACCAGTCAGCTGCTTGCACCGCCTTTCACTTCGCGCCCGCTCGGACGCCGGCCACCCGAGGGCGAGACCCTTCCCTACGACGCACTTGGCGCGTTCAGGCGTTAAGTTTCTCTCTCTTTCTCTCTCTTGCCATGAAGGTAGGAGGGCGATAGGGTACCGTCGGCGACCAGGAGAGGCCGGCGGCAAGACCCCTCAGATCTAGATTAGTTTTCTTTTTTATTATTACTATTACTTTTATTTGCAAAATCAATTACACCATTCCTTAGCAAAATATCAAAATATCATTCTATTAGGTTCCTATAACAATTTTACTTCTTCTAAATCAAGAAATTTCAAATCAATTTTGATGATTGGGTTATACCTTAATTGATTTTGGACTTGGGTTGTTGATCAAATTTTCTTCTTTTCCTCTCCTATTCCTCCGTTCTCCGAATTGCTTGGTTTATGATTTGGAAAGTGAGGAGATGAGTTGACAGAGGAGGACGGAAGGGTTCTGAGCTGCTAGGATTTCATAGGGTTGTGTTTTCATGGGTTAACAGAAAATGAACACCTCATTTGAACCGTCCCTAGTTTCCAATAAAAAGAAGCCAACGACTCTCCAAGGGCTATAAACAGGACAGCTCAAGCTGTACATACATACATACATACATACATACATACATACATACATACATACATACATACATACATACATACATACATACATACATACATACATACATACATACATACATACATACATACATACATACATACATACATACATACATACATACATACATACATACATACATACATACATACATACATACATACATACATACATACATACATACATACATACATACATACATACATACATACATACATACATACATACATACATACATACATACATACATACATACATACATACATACATACATACATACATACATACATACATACATACATACATACATACATACATACATACATACATACATACATACATACATACATACATACATACATACATACATACATACATACATACATACATACATACATACATACATACATACATACATACATACATACATACATACATACATACATACATACATACATACATACATACATACATACATACATACATACATACATACATACATACATACATACATACATACATACATACATACATACATACATACATACATACATACATACATACATACATACATACATACATACATACATACATACATACATAC